CAACTAGATAAGCTAATTCTTTTTATTCAAAAGATCCTCCTATATTGTTTTCTCACTTACTAGCCACAATACATCATCATGGTAACTGTTCCGAAATCCTGTTTTAACTATTTCAATCATCACTACAAAGTCGGGTAATCTAACAATCTCCATCTTGATCATTGTCTTCCCATCATTTACTATTCCATTGTGTGTGGCTGTCAGTGTTCTGAATGCACACATGCAATTGCATGTTTGGGGAAGGGAAGGGAAGGAAATTAAGTTTCACGGAAACAAGAAGATAACTTAAAGGTAGCAATGAGGTCAACTAACAAGTCCAAGAACATTCTTGCATCGTGACCTAAAAGTCTTCCCATGGTCACGATTACTACATTTGCTTTCTTGAATAGTTCATTCTCGTAGCATTCACGAAATTCATTCAACTTCCTATGACAGTTTCCTTTCTTGTCATATATTATTTTTATTTTACTTTTTCAATAAATTTTCTCGTCGTAAATTATTAATGGCCAAAACTAAAGAAAAAGAATCACAATACGACATTGTAGCTCAAACTGCATTTGGCATTCAGGTACCAAGAACATAATAGCCTAATTTTATCACATGTCGAGAATTAATCAGAATCAAGAAGAGGACGCTTGCTTGGCCGAGATGAGGACGGCTGAGCGGTTGGAAGGTCTACCATAGCCCCGTCTGTCTGGCCGGTTTGTGGTAGCTCGGCCTGATTTGTTTCGATGATGAGGGCTCTTACTGTTCTCTTTTTGGCCATTTCTTGTTTTGCAGTCAATGGGATAAGGTTGATTTGTGGAAGGGTTGGATCAGGTTCAGGAAAGGGTTCCAGAAGAAAATCTGTTGACCTGGTCTTCCTTCTACTACTGTATCTGTATGTCGGCTCAAAGTTGAGTAGCTCGGCCCAACCTCGATCGTGATATCTTAGTGCAGTGCGGAGTGCGTCTAGGTTGGATAACTATACTACGACTTTAGATGGTCCAAATCTACATAAGGAAAAAAGCTAACGGTTAGCACGGTGCCAAACTTATAGACAGAGTAAAGAAAGCAGAAAACTAAGCCGAGGTAATTATACCAGCTACTTCTTTGTTCCAGTTGATGCGGTCTCCTGGTATTTGGGCTTTCTGGTCCTAAAAGTTACCAGAAACCCAGAAAAAATCGTCGTCATTTACATCTTTGTCTGGGGTGTTCTTTATTATTTTTTCTCGGTGGCGTCTTATCCTTAAATAATATACCCAGCCATCTTCATTCTGGCCAAGGGAGTATTGGTGGAATAGCTCGGCTAAACCGAGGTTCAGGCCAAGGTGGCGATGCCGTTTATTATTCTGTACGAATTTGTGGAGAGCTAGGTAGGGCAAAGTCTTGTTTGTCTGAGAAATTCACAAAGAAGAGGCAGTACAGGGAATCGGAGTCCAGTTTCTACAATAGAAAGGAGGGTGAAGGGAACGAAGCCCGATTTTCTCCATGGAGTGGTGTCTAGTTCGGCTAAACTAAGATGAACATCATCAGGGATGTTGTAGTCCCTTCGGAACTCGGCCATAGCCGCTGGAGAGTTTACTAAGAATCTATATTTACCCATGTGGACTTAAATTAGGTATAAATTAGCTCGATGTTAAGAGGGTGCTGAGTATCTCGGTTGAAGCGTTCAAAAGAGTGCCTGGGGCAACCTAAGTCAGTCTGCAAAGTGAAAAAGAAAAGTGTTAAGCACAGATCGTTGGACCGTGCTAAGTACAAAGGCAAAATAAGTATAAGCCTAGCTCGGTTGTGAGGAATACTATCTGTTCTTAGCTCGGTTGTTGCAAAGGACTTTGGCTCGGCTAAATGAAACTAAAGGTTTGGCATGAAGTTTTAGTTTGGTCATTTGAAGAGTTATCTAGTTTGGCATGAAGTTTTGGTTCGGTTGTTGGGGAAGTCATCTAGTTTGGCTGGGTGCACACCTAGAAGGTTCCCTAGTTCGGTTGAACTTAAGCCTTGAGTTGCCCAAACAGGTTTTTGGCTCGGTCACACCACGATTCTAGATTCAAACTTCATGATTTTTGAATCCAGAGGGTGTGCTCTTAAACACGAACCTATGGTTTGGGGGTTTGGTTTTTGGTACTATCTGTTCTTACTTATAACATGTTTACACAGAATATGTTTTGTGATATATATGAGTATATATGTATCTATATTATGTATATTCACAGAATGAATGGAAAGAAATAGAGGATTGAGCTACTTACGGTTTGAAGACGGGAGGACGTAGATCAAAAACCATGAGAATAGTGGGAAGAACACAAGCTTTACAAGAGCTGAAGGTTGTAGAAAATGGAGAATTCGTATAGAGGGAAGAGAGAGAGAAGATGACAGAAATATGTGGATTTTGAGAGAGATTAGGGTTTTTGTATAAAACCTTGGCTTGGGTGGGACTGTTCAAAATTCGCGAGATACGAAGACGGTGTTGACAGTTGTACTCAACCAGTAGGGGCTAGCCACGTGTCTATGGGAGAGCAAGCGATTCAGATGTACAGTGTGACTGAAGAGACATTTTTTGGCCGAACCGCTCGGTAGCCCAGTGACAATTTAGCTCGGTTATAAGGCTAAAGTTTTAGCTCGGCTGGTAACAGGTAATCCCAATCATGCTACGCAGATGGAATTAAGAGGGAGTTTTTATGTGCATTAGGGCCGAACTAGGCCAAGGCGCGGTAATGGGCCGTTTTGTGGGCTGCAGTAAAAATGACTGAGTAAAAGCGCCTTGTAGTTAGCTCAGTCACCCCAGTTGGAGTGGTAATTAGCTCGGCCAGTGTTTGGAACCGAGGTAGTATGGCTTCTTATGGTGGACCTTGCTCTGGTTAGCGTGGTCAGAGCTTGTTGTAGTTAGCTCGGTCTCAACGGACACAACCGAGGTACAAGTGAACAAGAGCCGAAATATGAGGGTACTGGTTTGGGTATGACAAAGAGGTATTGTTAGCTCGATTACATTGTCATTCAACCGTGGTAAAACCATCTCACTTGGTCTAAGCAGTGAGGGGGGTGTTGAAGGATAAACATTATCTTTCAGGAGTGTGATTCCTAGGAGGACTCTACATGGAAGAATAAGAGTCCTACTAGGATTGTGCCATGCGGAACCTATAAAAGCTCACAACATAACCTATGTACAGGTAACACAACTTTGATTCCCGAATACATAGAGCTTTTGTCTATTTGTCTATTTTGCTGACTTAGGCATCAGAGAGGTATCCAGCACACACCCGCCGGCTAGCTCACGTTTGTGTTTTCAGGGAGTAAAGCGATGACGTTTGGAGGAGCGCAGACTTGATCAACAGGATTATATGAGGACATTATTTCGTGCTCGTACAAGTCCTATATATTTTTAATTGTTATCAAAAAAATCTTTTTTTTTTATATATATAAATTTAAAAACGTTGTTACATCCCACCACTATTGAACTTCCGTCAGACGGTCACCGAAGACTCGCAAAAATGTTTAACATCACCGAAAGTTCGTTGGAGTATTGCCGGAGTGTTCTGAACATCACCAGAAGTCGCTGAAATATCCAGAATGTTCATTGGACGTCAAGAAAATCATCGAATATTCACTGAAATATCCAGAATATTGCTGAAAAAAAAAACAAAGAATAAATGGAGAAATTGTAGTGAAAAAAATAACAAAATGTACTAAATATTAATAACTTGAAAGAAAAAATAAATAATAAGACAAACAACAACAATTGGAAAAATATATATTATTTTTTAACTTTTGTAGGGTTTAAATAAATAATCTCCAATATTGATTAAACCGAAAAGTAAGTTTTGAAACTGTAAAATGTTACAGCTTCAAAGCATGATTCTATTAAGCATTTATTCTTAATTAATCAAACTGAAAAATATATTATGAAACTTCAAAATTTTACAGTTGTAAAGAATATTATGAAATTGTAAAATTTTACAATTTTAAAGCATGACTTATTTCAGTACCAAAAAAAATTGAAACTGTAAAATTTTACAGTGTTCACCGCCTGTAACTAAAACTCGAAAACAATTAGTTTAGAATTTGAAAATTTTCTCTATTAAAACAGGAAAATAGAAGTATATAGCAAAGAAAATGTAGAAAAATTGAGAGATCGAAAGAGAGAAACAGATATATAGAGAAGATTGTACTCTAACAACTATTTTTGGTTTAGATCTAGTCTGTTCTCATACAGATTCGTCGAAAATTTGTCTCCTTTGCCATTGGTGAGGGTGAAGTAAGAAATCGGTGGTCAGTGATTACTGATGATTATGTGCTAGAAAGAGAAAGAAAAAGAGAGGAAGTAAGGTGTGATTACTAGTTGCTGGAAAGGAAGAGAAAGAGACAAAGACAGAGACAAAGAAAAACAAATGCACAAGAAAAAATGAAGAAGAAAAATACACCGTGAACTTTTAAGAGTATCCAAATAATTGTGAGACTAAATAATCTTCGCCTATTTTAAATAGGATTTCTAAGTAATTTGCCTATAAATTAATTTTCACCATACAAAAATCAATTCTAGATAAATTCTACGACTATAAATCTAATTTCCTAACTTTTTCCAAAAACAAATAAATCAAAGGTTGAATCCAACCAATTGATCAAATGGTCAACTCAAGAACCCGATCCAACTAATAAATCCGGCTATTTACTCCCGGGTCAGAAATCCGGGTCACGTATTAAGGTCAAGTTTGGGAAGACTAAATAAGTGCACTTTTTGTCTTTTTAGACTAAAAAATTGAGGTTGAAAATATGGATGTTTGGGTTAATTTTTTGACTTTTTATAAAAAATTGAGGTTGAAAATATGGATGTTTGGGTTAATTTTTTGACTTTTTATTGAAAAATGTGTAATAAAAAATTGTAAAAATTAATTTGTAGGAAAAAATTTAAATTGGGAATTGTGCAACCGTAATTGTTGACTTTTGATGAATAGTATTAACTTTTTAACATTTTAAAACTTTTTGACTTTTTAACTTTTTTGGAACATCCCAAACTTGGCCTAAATTTCGAGAGACCGAGGAGGCAAAACCCTAGTCTGTCACTGCCCTAAGAAAAGAAGAGAGCTTTTTTGTGGGTTGAGAAGAAGCAACAAAAATGGAGGGTGGAGACGAAGGAATCGAGAGAGTAGTGGACTCGAAGGACTTGCAGCAGCAGAGCAAAGCCCTCGACAAGCTCACCGACCATGTCGAAGATCGTCAGCTCGATTCCACTCGCGTTCAAGAGGTACAATTTTACTATATTTTCGTACACACACACACACACATGTATATATATATACGTAAATATACATTTGTATTACGAGAATTGATTTCAGTGAAGTTGTTATGATTGTGGTGATGTGTTGATAGGCTATGGCGTCGATTGGTGCAGCAAAGGAAGCTGATTTGAATGCTATGAGATTGAGGTCCGTATGTTTCTGACTTTTTTATTGATAAATGAAACCAAAAACAAACAATTGAAGTTTGATTTGTGTGAGATTGAGTCAATTCAATTACAATCAACAATGGAGTGTCTCAAATAGTGATTCTTAATGGCATCTCTAATCTTGACTCAAATCTCTACTGAATTTAAATTTGAGTAAAAATCACTCAAAACAACTCCGCTCCTCGTCCCAAACTTATATCAATTTGAGTTTTACTCAAATTTTTACCCTAAAAGGCTATTTTGTGGCTCGCAAATTTATGTTTAAATTTGAGTTTTCCCATTGGGGTGATTCATATTGAATAAAGCTGTTAATTATAATTTGTACTCAAATTGGAGTAAAATTTTGAGTGAGGACTGGAGAGCTGCCATCTTTTGGAATTGAATACTAATGGCATTCTCTCTTTCCCGTTCTGATTTCCCTTTCTGATTGGTGGTGGATCAATGGTTACCTTGAGTCAAAACCATTTTAGAGTGAATGGGTAGTGGATTTCGTTAGTTTCACCCTATAAATTGCTTCAAACTGATCTTTTGTGTGTAATCTTTTGATGTTAATGATCTAACATGAAATTTGGCAAGCGCTTAAGGGAATCAGATAGACACTGCAATAGGAAAAGCACGAAATGGTTATGGACAAACATGGTGTATGTAGGAATGTTAACTTAAAATTGTCTTTTTGATGGATCATTGAGTAATAAAATAAAGCCAGACAATTCAGTGAATGTGCTGCAATTACCGTATAACTTGTTGTCAGGATTAAACAAGGTGCTCACATCGCCATTGTCCTTGAGGCCACTCCTTGTTTCCAGTAAACATGTAAGTAGGGTCTGTATGTAAATTGCTATCTGACTCAACATGTATGCCTTATTTTAACGTAGCCATTCCAATATGTTTAGACAAGCATTGGTTTGGGTAGAAAATATGTGAGAAAGATGCCTTGGTGGATTAAAAGGGGCGTAGCCAGTGCACGAAGCTCCCGCTTAAGTGGGGTCTGGAGAAGGATTGATGTACGCAGCCTTGGTGGATTGCAAACTAAAAAACTTCCTTATTAAAAAACTTTGATATGAAGTTACAAACCCTTCATTTGTTTCTTCTTTTTACTTATTTGGGTTTTCAAACTCTTTCAAAGTTTCATGATAAATTGGGTTGTTTCTATTGCAAATTATAGGGGCTTGGAGCCAATGGTATGAAAGATATGAAATTATTGATGCAAATTTTTCCTTGACATTATTAGTTGTAAATTTATGATGAAGTGAGGACATGGAGCCGTCGCCAACATGGCAGGCAATGGAGTTTCCTTAATCTAACATTTTTTTAGCATATTGTACTCTAGATTAATTTCATTTATGATAGTTAAAGGTGCTTTTAGATTCCAAAGGAATTTAAATGAAACAATGCTACGATCATCGAAAAACTTGATCATTGAAATCACCGACCCCTCACATTTGTTCGCATCTATAGATGCAAACATGCAAACAAGATGTTTGCATCTATAGCTGTGAACAATTGTGAGGGTTAGTGATTTTGTTACACTTTTTTTCAGTGTCCGTGTCTTTTTCCAATTTAAATAGATTTGTTGTGTTTTAAAATAACATTTGAAGTTTAAATTCCATCATCATGCATAAGGTCATTGAAAAATTATGGTGATACTTTCACAAATAGTGGTATTAAACAATTTTAAGTTCCTTAATGACACTTAAGTTTTTTATCATCATTTGTGGGACACTGCCATTACATTCAATCACCTATGTCTTGATTATAAGTTTTGACACTCAAATGCTATGTGAATCACAATGAAGCTCTTCAGTTCCTAAGAAATGTCTTGCACTCTATTTGAATCACTTTATGATAATAGAGATGTTAGGTTTCTTAGAATAAGTTTTTATACAAGATTATGTGGTTAATTAACTTGATTCCATATTGACACAATCAACAAATGCTAGCCACATCTAAATATAGTTGTGGCTTATGTTTGGTCTGGTCAAATAACAAAAACATATGATATCATATGATAAAATTATGGTGAACCTAAGATTAGCTTATCAAGGCTTTGCTGCAACATTTCAGATAAAATTTTATGTCGTTCTCACTCACCAATCTTACTAATATTCATAAAAAGTAGATTAGAAAATAATCAACAATAATATTTGTTATTGAGGTTAGCATTTTTGTCGGATCATATTTTTTTATTTATAAAATCGTATGATGCCTTTGTATTATGCGCTAGGTAATGTTGGATGAATGAAGATTTTGTTTTTATTTTTGCAAAGTTGAAATATCTTTATCCCCCAAGTCCTCACTCCAGTGTACAAGATTTTATTCATTGCCTTTCTCTAAAGATGGATTGTGTGACATTTTGGTTCTTATAGAAGTGCCCCAGAATTCCAGGCTTTATTATTGTATTAGCTTTAGTAATGCAGTTCACCATATTTGAACTAATATTCAGCACTGAATCGAATTGGTGGTCGCTGATGTTTGATAATCTTAAAAGGGATTGTAACCATGACAATTCTAGGAAAAAACATATTAATGGAGTGCTGCCTATTGCAAGTCAGTCTGTCTTAACACAAGCATGGTAACGGTGTCTGCTTCATTGCAGGGAGAAAGAATTGGCTGCAGTTAAGATCAATGCAGCTGATGTTGACATAATTGCAAATGAACTAGAGGTTAGGTGGTGCTTTTTTAATATGTTACCATTCATTTCTGCCCATTATTTTGGTTTATTGGAATACAAACATGACTCTCAAAGTTGGAGAGAAACCCACACATAGGTGGGAGGAGTTGAGCCCTTGACCTCCTCGTGAAGTGCGAGGGCTCTGGCTAACTGGCTAGCCCTGTCGTTTACAAGTAATTTATGTCCAGGGCTTTTAATATGTTTTTCTTTTTGTTTGAACCTTGGGAACAGCTGGACAAGAAGGTGGCTGAAAGAACTTTACGGGAGCACAAAGGTGATGCTGTTGCTGCCATTCGATCCTTGCTTCACTAGAAGGCCTTTCAACCCTTTCGCTTAGCTTCTTTTTTTTTTTTTTCCCCCTTCATTAATGCCAGTGGGCTGGTGAAAAGATGGCATCTGTGTGACGTAACCAAACTTTTTTGTTCTGCCTAGATATATGAATTGAATTGGATCAGGTTGTTACCTTTACAGGAAGATTGAAAAAAAAAATCAAATGAAAAAACTTGACTAGGAATACTAGTGTACTGTTAAAGTGCCACAGTTCTGTTTACTAGCTATTGCTTTGTTTGTTTTGAAACTAATTATCAAAATGTCATTAAATTTGGCAAGCGTCATATGTATAAAGGTGGCCGTTGGGTTATTGATAATGTTAATGCTACGATCATGAAAGGTTTGCACAAACTTAGGGTGTACCAGTTGGACTTGAGGGTCTCAGATACAACTCACTACAAGCGTATTGAGGAAATTCATGTTGTATGCAAATATGCAAATGTATGCTATAATATAGAGGAAAAAAAATTAAATAAATTAAATTAAATTAAATTAAGCACGACACCAACCAAATTGAGAAAATGTTTCAAAAAATTTTACAGCACAATATGGCAAATGGTGTGGTGTATGTACAAATGTTCTTCCCTGTTCTCAACTCATAGTTCTCCTAAAGAGCACAAATGAATAACAAAATGGTCTCAATGGCATGAAATACCACTGAGGTGAATGACAAATTATCTCTATAACATGAACTAACAACACCAACAGAACTAGACACAATTCAACTACCAGCCAGCAACACAAGTCAAACTCGAGCCCCAGCATCCTACAATTCCTTTTGCCTATCTCCTGCAGCAGAACGGGTGGCCTGAATTTGAACGGCGTAGTGTTTCTGCAGATCCTTTAGCTTTTCCATCAATTCATGGAATGACGGTCGCAACTGTGGCTCGCTGGTTTTTTTAATTAAGTTGTTAGTCAGCAATAATGACAGGTTTCATTCATGATTAAAAATGTTCTATGTTTATGAAAGAGGCAGAACGAAAAAACAGACCACTGGATGTAACTCATGTCCCTATATTAATGCTTATAACAATACCTTGGCCATGAGTCATGAGGCAGAACGAAAACACAGACCACTGACCGTGCCACACAATCCCAACCTAACCTTAGCACAATTACAGAATTTTATAATATCAAATTCAAGTATCTCGACAGCAAGAGTCGACCAAACCATCTGACAGAAGTCATCTACACCTTTTTGAGTTCACATGAGACGAAAGCCAAGTCCCAACTAATACAAATGGGATAGACAAAACTAAAAAAAAGTTTGTGGAAATCGGAATGTGTGACGAAAAGTGTTGAGGAGCGCAGGAGAGAGACGTCGAGATATTCGACTGGCCACACAATCATCCCAGATAACACTTGCATCCTTTGTACCGTGGCTACTGGCATAGAGTTAGCCAATGTTTGTTCCCCCAGATCAACCCAATTCGCATCATTATGCTCAATAAAAGGAATGGGGAAGCTAAAATCTAAAATAATGGAAGGAATGGAAAAATGCTTCGAAGACCATTCTCTTTTGGCCATATTTTATATTTCATATATGCTTGTTTGCACGTATGCATGCATCTTCATGATGGTTGTAGAGCCTATCAAGGTAATTCTCCCTTCTATTGAGAGTGATGTAAAGAAGACGGAGCGGGTAGAAATAAAACAAACCTGTGCCAACAGCTCTCAATTATAGAGGTCCATTGTGGATCCACGTCTTTGGGGATCTCTAATTGTTGGTTCATGAACCCTACAGCTCCAATCACCTACAAGTTTCCTAAACAGATTGCTGTTAGATGTCTGTTGTTTTGAAGTTAAATCTTGCATTTGATCTTGTTTTAGAACTTTAGAGTTTCAAGGAAACCATGCATGTGTTAAATTTGCATTGTTCTTCATGTTCTTGAAGTTTATTTGAAAATTGTGTTTAATTGAACTACCTTTGGGCTTTGATTTCTCAAATTGATCTTTGAAACATGTCATATTATGAGTTTACAAGTGTTTTCCAGAAAATTAGCCCAAAAGGATCGAATTTGATGCATTGTAGTTGAGTTTTGAGCTTGAGGTTCGAATCTGGAAATTCCAGATTTTGGACTCACGCTCGAGCGGGGAACTCCACGCTCGAGCATACATACTGGGTTCATGCAGTAAGCTCGAGTGGGTAAAATGATGCTCGAGCGGGAATTTCGTGTATCCAGTACTTTGCCTGTGTTTACAAATCCGCTCGAGCGGGGTAATGCACGCTCGAGCGAGGACTTGTGTCTCATGCTCGAGCGGGTATCGAGCGCCCATCGAGTGAAAATTTCTTGCATCCAGTACTTTTACTGTAGCTTGTAGTCTGCTCGAGCGGAGTAATCCATGCTCGAGCGGATTCCTTTTGTCTGCATGTCCGCTCGAGGGTAGAAGGCCACGCTCGAGCGGGACCCCTATTTCAGGCATTCCTAGTGTTTTAAAGCGCATCTCTGTATCCCCATTCCATCTTAGGCATTCCTAGGCCATGTTTTAGACCCCATAGTGAGGGTAGGAGATTAGAAACACACTAAGAGCCAATGAAATAAGTTTTGTACAATTAGAATGTGTGTTTCAAGTGTGCATCTGTTATGTGCCATGCCCTGTCTGATCGATCTACTCTGTCTGTCTGTCTCCAAGCCCACTGTGAGTAATAACTCTGTAAAGTTATGTTCAGCTTAAGTATTTTCTGACTGGTATTGCATAATCTGTTTTCTGAAATGCTATCTTACGAATTATGAATGAATGTCCAATTTTCTGAAAAGTAATTGTGGCACCCTTAGTTCACGTGGCCCTCGCCGGGGGGTAACAACACCGTGGCCAATCTGCATGTGGCCCTCGCCCGGAGGTAACAATACCGCGGCCAATCTGCACGTGGCCCTTGCTTGGGAGTAACAATACCATGGCTACTTGCGCGCAAAATATGGACCTTTATGGTCGTTGGTACCAACTATATATGTGGGTCTCTGGACCAATCTGATCTGATAGCTAATGTGTGTACCACGTATGATCTTATGCAAAATCTGAATATAATAATGTCTATGAATCTGTTTCTGTTTTGAAGTCTGATTATGCTCTGATTTAAGTGATGGATTCTAACTTGTGCTGGACATCATTCATATAACCCCTTTACTCTGTTATTATTCACTGGGCTTTCGCTCACAGTTTATATTATATATGTAGGTGAGCCGGCATGTGACCAGGGCTAGAGTTGACGACCTTCTGTTTCATTTTTGTCAGCCAACCGCTGTGCCTCCCGAGGAGGTTCCGATCGAGTCTAACGCCAAGGCTGTTTTTGTATTTCATGCTAGTCTTTGTGTAAGCACTGTACAGTCAGATCTTGGGAAATTCACTTCTATAAATATTTTGTAAATACTGTGTATCTAGACTGGCATGTTTATATATATATATATATATATTTATAAGTTTGAAATGTTCTGTCCCATGTACGTTATCACAGCTCATTGGACCTTGTCTATTTTGTATTATTGCTTCCACAGCCCCTTATTATTTGTTAATCTGTTCAGAGGCCTTTGGTAATCCATGGATTACTGGCCGGTTACGGTGCTAAACCCATAGTCGTGACAAAAGCAAAGCTTTAAGGGGTTAGAAACTCACCCTTGTAGAACAACTTCAAAGCTGCAACTCCAACAGCTTTTCTGAGCTCAAACCAATCCAAAAACACCAAAACCAGCTTCTAGGTGCCTCAGCTCCAAGAGTGTGGTGTTTCACTATGTGTTTGTGTCCAAAAGTGTGAAGAAAAGGCACTTTTAAGCACAAATATGAAGAGAAGAAGCAACATAGAGATAAAGGTGTATATCTATAGCTCTAAGCAAAAATTTGAACCTGGAGAAGGGAGAGAGGGCCTCCCTTTTATAGAAAACCAAGCCTCAAGCTTGTTGAACAAACTTGAAGCTAGATGCAATCCCTCCATATATGGAGGATGGTTTCTGTGCTCACCAGCTGGCACAGCTGGCACCAAAATATCTGCAGGAAACTGCAGAAAAGCTGCTGACCAGTTGAAGTGGTCGGCCAGCTACTTCCATTGGTCGGCCAACCACCAAAAGTGGTCTGCAAGAAGACCAAGTGGTCGGCAAGGGGGGAGAGGTGGTCCGCACCAAGAAAGGAAGGTGGTGACATGGCTGTTGACCACTTTTGGTGGTCCAAAGACCACCAAGATCAGTTGGACGACTAGAAAACTAGCTGGCGGGGAAGAAAAGTGGTTTTTAGGGAGAGAAACTGGTCTACAACCCTTATTCCACTCTCCAAGCAAGGAAAACAAGGTTTGTGCCCGAAAAGGATTCAAGACAAGAGTCCGCGGGTCAAGGCACGCAGCAGAAAATCTCGAAAACTAGTCTACAGGAACCAAAAGTGGTCTACAGGAGGGAAAAGTGGTCTACGGCCACAAAAGGTGGTCTACAAGACCTCTGTGTCCCTCTAGACCAAGGCAACAAGGCATGGTCCAAAAACCAGGCCAAAAGGAGAACGTTAAGCGATCCCAAGACAAGGCTTGCAGCCGAAGGCTCCGAAAATCAGAAACTAGTCTCCAAGAGGGGAAAGTGGTCTACGACCACAAAAAAGTGGTCTACGGACCTCTCTCTCCCTCCAGGGAAGGTTAACAAGGCTTGCTCCACGAACCGAGCCAACACACAAAGAGTTCAGAGGCCCGGAGGCAAGGCACTCAGTCGAAAACTCCAGAAACTCGAAACGAGCACAAACATGCGCGATCATCGAGCGCTTAATCGATGACATCTGAGTCTTAAGGTCAGTTAAAAATTGGGTGTCTATACCACCTTACAGAGAGATTAAGTTCTCTATTGATTTAGTGCCTAGCACGGCACCAATTTCTATAGCACCGTATTGGTTTGCACCTGCTGAGTTGAGTGAGTTGAAGATTCAACTCCAGGAGTTATTAGATAAGGGTTTTATCCACCCTAGTACTTTGCCTTGGGGAGCACCGGCTCTCTTTGCTAAAAAAAAAGATGGAGCGTTGTGACTTTGTATTGATTACCGGAAGTTGAACTGGGTAATGGTTAAGAACAAGTACCCAATGCCTCGTATAGATGATCTGTTTGATCAGTTAAAGGGGCTTGCTGTTTCCCTAAAATAGACCTGAGATCGAGTTATTATCAGTTGAGGGTAAGAGAGGAAGATATTCCGAAGACGACATTCCGTACGCGGTATAGCCATTACGACTTCCTAGTGATACTTTTTGGGCTAACCAATGCCCCGACTATGTTTATAGATTTGATAAATCGGATCTTCCATGAGTTTCTAGATCGCTTTGTGGACGACATTTTGATTTACTCACCCTCTGAGGAGAAACACGAGGAACACTTACGAGCAATGCTTGAGTTTCTCAGAATCCATAAGCTAAATTTGGGAAATGTGAATTCTGGCTGAGGGAGGTTAAGTTCTTAGGCCATGTGATATCCGGGAAAGGGGTGACTATAGATTCATCCAAGATAGAGGCAATGCAAGATTGGGCACAACCTAAGAATGCATTTAAGATCCGTAGTTTCTTGGGGTTGGTCAGGTATTATCGAAGATTTGTGAAGAATTTCTCTAAGCTAGCTTTACCTTTAACTAGGCTGACAAGGAAGGGAGTCAAATTTGTATGGGATGAGACTTGTGAGAAGTTGTTACAGGAACTTAAAAGTTAGACTGACCACTGCTCCAATTTTGATTATTCCGGAGAGGGATTTGGGTTATTCAATATATTGTGATGCTTCACGAGAAAGTTTGGGTTGTGTTTTGATGCAAGAAGGAAAGGTGGTAGCCTATGGCTCGCGGCAATTGAAAACACACGAGAGGAACTACACTACTCATGATCTAGAATTAGCAGCGGTGATATTTGCCTTGAAAATTTGAAGGCATTATCTGTATGGTGAGAAATTTGAGGTGTTTTCTGATCACAAGAGTCTGAAGTATCTGTTTACACAAAAAGACTTGAATTTAAGACAGAGGAGGTGGATGGAATTCATAGAGGATTATGATTTTGACTTGCATTATCATCCGAGAAAGGCTAATGTTGTAGCTGACGCCTTGGGTAGGAAATCAATTAGTAGTGTGGCTTGTATCACCATTCGGTAATGGGAGATATTGGGTGCTCTTGGGAGTTTGACCTGCATCTTGGTGAGTTCATTGAATCTGCAGCCTTGTTTACGATAGTTGCCCAACCTACACTTGTGAACTGAGTGTTAGAAGCGCAGAAGAGTGACCCTCAAGTAGAAACCCTCAGGGAGAAGATTTCCAAAGAGAAAGTGGAGAGGGACTTGAATGTGTATCCCGACCAGAGTGTGAGATACCGTGACTGTTTGTTCGTGTTGAAGTCTTGCCGAGAGGAAGTACTCCGAGAGTTTCACTATTCATGCCTTACGATGCCCCTGGGAGGCACAAAGATGTATCACGACCTTAGTCTCCAGTTTTGGTGGAGAGGTATGAAAAAGGATGTGGCGGTGTTTGTATTGAAATGCCTTATTTGTTAGCAAGTAAAGGCCAAGCATCAGAGGCCAGCGGGTTTGTTATAACCCTTGCCTATAACAGAGTGGAAGTGGGAGCATGTCACGATGGATTTTGTTATGGGCCTCCCGAAGACTCAACGGGGTAATGATGCCATTTGGGTAATAGTTGACCAGTTAACCAAGTCCGTGCACTTTATACTTATACGTGTGAGTGATTCGGTAGACTATCTTGCCAACTTGTATATCAGGGACATAGTGAGGTTACACGAGGTCCCTGTGACGATTGTTTCAGATAGAGATCCGTATTTCATAGTTCATTTGTGGCAGAGCTTG